TTTACCTCAATTTCTTTGGTCACAGTAAATCACCAGCATCATCAGGAGCAACTCCTAACTATAAGCAAAGAATAGAATGAGTAAAAGAATGCACATAAGCCACTCAAAAACATAGTTGACAGTATTCAAATAGTTCAAAGAGCACTATACGGCTTTGTGTACTTTGTGTGAAAGGGAAAAATTATATACACATACATTTAGAATACAAGTTTTCAGCGTAATCATATTTTGAAGACTTTTGCTCATTCAAAAAGATATTAACGGCTTATTAACCGAGCGCGAGGTCTGTACGGAGAAATATCAGACCGCGGCCTTAATGTACAGACCGAGCCGTGGCCAAGGTCTGATATTTCTCTGTACAAACCGAGCAAGCGAGGTTAATAAATGTTTTATTATATGACTCTCGTCTGTGTCTTTACCAATGCTTTTGAGATATTTGTAAAGTATGTTCATGTCCGACTTGGTTTTGTGTGATACGGGCTGTGGACAGATTGTCATGGTAACGGTCCGAGGAAAGATATCAAATGTGATACGCGCTGTTCGGACCAATTGTCATGGTAACGGTCCGAGATGGGAAAATATCAGACTGCAAATCAACCAATCAGAGCGCGCGTACGGTCCAACTCATATAATAAAATATTTTACTTGAACTTGTTATGGCAATATTCCTAATTTCTCATCATTGTGAAATCCCTGAATACAATTATGGATCTATTTCATGTACAATGCATTATAATCAGTACCGAAAACACGTATGAAGTGTGTACAATCATCAGTTTGATAAAGAATATGCAGTATTTAGCTGTAATCAACACCTTAGTCATCAGGCAGTTTTATGTTACTGTTGTATATATTGATATTTCCCACTTTGTATTTTTGAAAACATGCAAATATAATCAAAAAAGTTTCATGTTTTGGAGTGCTTGTCGAGGGTTACAGAAATGAATATGGATGAAGCTAAATACATCTCCAGGCAAGCCTTTGAAGATAAAAGCCCAAAAGTGTGTGTGCGTACTTTCATAAATAAATAAATAAATAAATCTTACATAATAAATATTTAATTTGTCCAAAAAGTCTATTGGGAAGATGAATGGGGGTCAGCCATGTGGATAATACCAAGTTGTTGAAAGTGGACTGAAAGAGGAATTCCCCGAAGTACAGGTTTTACAGAAGACACTTTGGATCACGGGCTGGCAGTGCGATCGGCTCGAACATGGGGACAAAAGTCTTTTGTGGAAAGCCGATGCTGCAGCTGACACAATGTGGCGGATTACTTTTGGAAAATGAAACATCATGGCTTGTGTAGCACTTTGTTGCGTACTGAAAAATGTTGCTCTACAAATTGTGTACAGTCAGTGAATGTGACAGTGTATGTAATGTCCACAGAGCAGGTTTTGCCAAGACTGAACTGTGTTGTTTAAAGAAGGATAATTACTTCATAAACTATATAATGTAACTAAACACAGAATAAAGTTGGAACCATAGACTGTATATAGAAGGACAATGCTATAACCCCCAGCTCAATGAAACCCAATAGGGAAGTGCAAAGTTTGGCTCCTACTTGCTTTGGCTTTTATTGACTTACTGCACATCAAAAAGTAAATTTCTCTAGCTCAGTGACCGTTTGTGTCACACTCACCATTTTAGACTTCAAAATCCATTGTTTAGCGCTGTCCTAGAACCTGGGGTTTAAATTGCGATATTCTCTATGTAAATCATAAAATGAGGCAGAACAACTGGCCAATCAGGAGCCTTCTCTTGCCCAATTTGGCTCAAGTGCTCAAGTGGGATGGACTGGTGTTGCTCCTGAATCTTGGTATAATCTTTGAAACTCGTCCGTTGCCACCATGGACCAGCCGCGGCGCCAGGGATAGGCCCGGGTAGGCCGGTGCCTATACAGTTTTTTTCTTGGCCTACTCAAATTTGTTCTTCACCTCTAAAGTCATTAGCCTTTTTTATTAAAAGTCATAATTTAAATATTGTTATTTTTATACACACATTATTGCCTAAATGTTGCGTTCTAATGTTTTAAGAAAATGTAACCCCCTGAGCGTTCACGTTGCTTCAAATATAGTCCTGTTTATTGGCTGAACATTTTTGTCCAATTATCTGCATGATCATATCACACAGCTCGTTCCCGAGAACAAGCAGCTATTCCTCGTCTTAAAGATTGACAACGCTCTCAAAACATTCACAACAGAGCAGCCTTTTTAGTCATTTTAGTTTTAAGAAAGTTCAGCGTGAACTTCGTGAGGTAGAGGAGCCAGAGGCCCGGGCCCGTAGGTCCCAGAGGAGGAGAGCGCAGTCAGGCCAGGCTCACCTTGCACTGATGAGGTAAACCCCAGGCCTGTGTGAGACACAGGGCCTCATGTATGAAACTTGCCCTCTATTAAATCTCTATTAAATCTGACTTGTGTCTGTATTATTTTGATCTGTATATGTTTTTAAAATGTGAAGCGGTTTGTGATCCTGAACTGTGAAAGGCCCTATATAAATACACTTTACGCGACAGGGATGTGTGACCCAGCTATTGCTGTGACAGGCTCTGCGCTGCGTAATTACGCACGGCTATTTGTATTCCTCATTCACATCTGGCTTCAGAGTTTCTTTGTGAAATCTGGACCGCAAACACTCTCTGAAGTGTACAGTGATTTAATGCGCACTTCGACCCCGAGCCAGGCTGCATCCAAGACGCTGCAGACGCTTCATTCATGAGAGCCACCGCTGCATATGAATTAATTCATTCATTCAATCAATCTATATTTATTCACTCCTACAATTCAAGAGAGATTTTTCTAATGTATCAAAACTATTTTTGCAAATTTGTGCAAAACGCAGCTGAATATATAGCGTATATTTATTTTTACATAAACATAACAAACAAACGTGCCTTTGGAGGCTTCCAACAGTCTTTTTGGACTTCCGTGCTGACCTGTCGCGAACATTGCTGCATAATTCTAGGCGTGACTTTCATAAATACGTTCGTATTCAGCCGATTTATCAACACCCGCAGCTGCGTACGCTCAGATCTGGGCTGATCTCACACGTTCATAAATCCGACGTTGGATTTTGCGTAAATGGAATATACACCCCAAATGTACACATTTTTCTACGCAAGTTTCATAAATGAGCTTGTGTGTATGTGTGTGCTTGGGTGCGTGTGTGTGCGTGTGCGTTTGAACCATATTCTTTGAAACCCCAATTCCAGCTACCCCTTGTAGTTTGCGTGCGAATTTGGCCTACTTATTAATCTGCAGGCCTACCCAAAATTGCAAACCTGGCGCCGCTACTGCCATGGACTGTAAATTTTACTGACATAGTGATGCCTATTTCTTCCGTTGAGGACAGGAAAATGGTAAAAAATGCATTTATGCGTTCCCCATTCATTTAACAAGAAACAAGCACTGTGCCCATTCATTTAAGGAGTGCATTCAAAAGTTCACTGAGGCTAAACTAGGCTGATCCAAAAAAGAATACTCCCTTCAGCATTGACATGCATCTGGAATGTAGCGTTGAGCCAAGAGCCGACCTTTGAACCAGGCAGTAAAGCTGTTTTTGAGAGGAAAGGTGTTGTTAGAATACGCTGGGTAATTCTCTTTCCGGGTACACCCCCACTGGCAAGAAGTGAGATTGCAAGCATGTCAGCGCACGTTCTCATGGACCCTTTTGAACTGGGATCTCCCCCCACTGGTTGCTACCAACAAAATGTGCATACAAATGTGCTCCACATTCTTGCTCGATTAGCTTGTTTATGCTAGCTCCGATCAGCCTCTTTCATTAAGGCTAACACTATGGATGATGTCAGCACTTGATCAGTCCACTCCTGATATACAGTCTATGGTTGGAAGCTGCCATTATGTTGGTAGTTCCTAAAACCACTGGAAGAATAGATAGGTCCATAGAAAAGCTATAGCTTCTATATTTGAAAATCAAACTATTGTAAGTGCACTGTAACATGAAAACCTCAAATACATACAAAATTCATTGACGTTTAAGTTAGTAGTAATTTTGTATGGCAAGCATATTAGTCGTTTTACAAAGCATGTACATATGCTCAGGAACAGTTTATAAAAATAGACTGTGCTCAGGCCTTCGTGTATGTATAGCCCTGTTTCCACCAGCCCAACTTGGCCCAACTCTACTCTCTTTGACTCTACTCTACCTGGTTGTATTTTCATTACGCTTTAGTAGCCGGTACCGTATCCTAGCATCCTACCAATAACGAAACAGTGTCCGGAGTTATTCCTTGGTAATCATGGCTTCCAGCAGCACACTGGCCAATCTCTGTCAGTTAGAACATTTTAGTAGCAGCTCGACCTGGGTACTAAAAAAAACTGGAAAAGCTCCCAATCAGGGTAGAGTAGAGCCTAATAGGTCTGGTAGAAACAGTTTTTCACTCACATCACATCTTGTATTCCTATAGGAGGTCCTTAAAATCACTCAAAAAAAACACAGTCGCACTAGAACAATAAGGAACATACGGTTATAACTGAACTTGAATGATCACACTACAATTCAAATGGAAATAGTTGCAAGAAAGTTACAGCCAGTGAATTGAAGAAAAAACTATGCGTAGTCTTTTATCGTAGTGTTCATTTGTCCCTATATGCACGCATACAAATGGACTTAGAAGTTCCCCTTATGTTTTTTCGGGCGTCAGCTTGTTGGTGGAGAGGAGAATAACCTTGAAAAAATGCAGGTTTTGACCAGCTCCTGTTGTTGTTGTTTTAGCGGAATGGCACAGTTTAGAATTCACATTGCAACCACAGTGGCGTGTCGTTTCTATCAATTCATAGTCACTCATTTCCTCTGAGATGTCTTTTTCCTCGTTGCTTTTGGGCCAGGCAGTGCGTCCTTGGAGACTACTCTTACCATTCAGCCCCATGTTTAAAGCAAATTTCCTCTCATTGTTATGTCCCAGTGTACCAGATTGGATCCTGCGTCCAAACACTGAGCATTGTCTCACTTTTGCACAATGGTCGCATTTTGGCTTCCACCAGTCACCTAAAAGCGACAGTAAAAAACAAATTACAGTTCTGGCAAAGCAACACTCCATAGAGAGCCTGGAGCTGTTGTGCTGAGCTGCTGGAAGAGGCATATCTGTAGCATTTCGCGCCATAGTAAAAATACTGTCAAGAGTGTTCACAGTCACAATTGTCAAGGAGATTGGCAGTTGCAGTAAGGACCAATGTGGCTTGCTTTGCTACATGTGTCAAATGGAGCTATATACATACACAAACAGCAACAGAAGGAGGTTCAGGAAAATCCCAATCATCCCCAGCACAGCCAGGAAGCGCTCCTCCGGGGTGCTTATGTACGAAGCACACGTTAGTTCCATGTAAACAGCTTTGTAAAGCTTCAAAGGGAAAGAAAAACGGTTCTTTATTTTCTCTAACAGAATAGATAAAGACCGGGTGAACTATTGACACTCACTTTGTGCCTCTCATGATTGTTTCAGTGATGTTCTTGGCAGTTTAGTTGACTTGGCACGAGTCAAGATTCACTTCAACCAACAAATACCCCTGTGCTTCACCTTGAGCCGGATGCGACTCTAGCTCCCAGATGCAGGCCCTGGAGGGAGACCCACCAAACTGTGTGAATGTTTGAGGAAGTGTGTGTCTTGTCTTAAGTGACAGAGGTGTAGATGTAGACAAAGATGACCACCAGCAGGTTGAGCACAGTTCCGATGATCCCCAGCACAGCTAGAATCCTCTCCTCGCGGTCATTGGACTCGTCCTCCTGGGCATGAGCACTGCAGACATAGCGACTGCTGGGTACCATGGTTACCATCACAGAACCCCACCTCCACAGGGCGTGACGCCTACACCATAGGGACAAAGGTACATGATTAAAACCAGGCTTTGGTCACACACAAAGTGATAAGGCATTAGAGCAGTAAAGGTCAACTATTCTAATTGATTCATCATTAACGGCTCTAATTACACATGTAACTGTTGTAAGTGTTGTAAGAGAGCTCAAACAGCAGCGATTGTAATGTTACACTTTCTCTGCATCACATTGAGATACATGAGTTACAAATCTAAACAACTAATCAACTAGACAAAACAATTATTGATTAAATTAATTGATTATCAAAATAATCATTAGTTGCAGCCCTACTATAGATATTCTTAGCCTTATTTTTTGATGATAAAATAGCTATAAAATTGCAACAACAAAATGTATGTGTAAAAATGTTAGCCCCCATTAAACTAGGAGAAAACTGGTTTATGATTCGTCTAAACCAGTAAAATTGCAATTTGAATCGTTCAAAATTACATTTAGTGCATTCAGTTTCCGTCACAGCTGCCTGTAAAATAAATCTGTCATTGGTGACAGAGAAATACTGCACCAAAGATGAAGCGTTGCCAGACTTGAGACTGGACAAGGCAATTCATACTTCAATGCCTGGAGCATAGAGAATAGATGAACTGAGAAGTGGAGTGGGTCATTGGCCAAATCAATGTCAGGGATAAAGTGCCTCTTATTGGTCAGTTCATAGGGTTCATATCTGGATTTACTATAATTTTATCAAGATAAAATCACAAATTTCTGAGCCCAAAATGTGGAGTGTGACATAAACTGTTATAGAGAGTTTACTTTTCAATGTAAATCAATCAGAAATGCCAAAGAAAAACTTCAGCCCTGAACACTTCCCTATTGGGCAAGATTCCTGGATACAGCCTCATTCTTTACAACTCTCTTTGTCAACTTCAATTCATGAACAACAGACATCAGTGTTCCTATCCTGTTATCAAGAATCAAAAGAAAAGAATGAGTAGAATTATGTTTGGTATTAAACCCTTGAAATGCCTTTTTTCACTTGTCCATCCACTTGTTGTCATTAGTCTAGTGTGTCCTGGGTCCAGCAGCTGTGGGCTGCCCATGGCTGTATGTCCGTGTGTGATGGTGTGTGCTTAACTGTGTATGCAAGTAAGAACATGGCACTGTCTTTCGATGCAGCTTAGGCATTCAGCAGTGTAATATGATTATTTCCAGCCCAATTAAGAGAGAGTCCACGCCACACCTCACAAGGAGACGATGGAAATTATTAAAACATACAGAGTAATGTCATTATCAAATTAGGAAAATGATACAATGAACATTAAGTTTTAACTTCTTTCTCGAGCTGACAAATTGTAAATAGAAATGCATTCGTAAATACATATTGAAATTGTACATAAAGCAACACATAGTGAAACTAGGGCAAATAATGTTTCTTGATTGTATATTTATTACGGCTGTCAAAATTATAACGCTAACTCACGTTAATTACATTTTCCATTAATGCGTTAAAGATGCAGTCAGGGATTTTTTCCGGAGGCATTTTTTAAACATTGTGGGAAAACGTCCCCAAACCCTAAAAGTATCACGTTATCATGTTTTTTCAAATTGTAATGGAATTGACCAGATGCCTATAGTCTCCAATAATTTATGAAAAATATTTTGGAGCGGACCGATAAAAATAAACCAATGGGATTCGTTCATCCCCAACGAACCAATGGGATGCGTTTACCCCACTTAACCCTCTACCTGTTTCTCGCGAAAAGGGCTGAACAGAAAATGCCAGTTTCACGTTTGCTACCCACTCTCCACGTTGTGACAAAGAAAAGAAAATGCTGGATGTTTGGTTTGGTGGAGAGGCGAGGGGAGGGGGGAGTGGTTTCGAGTTGGTGCCACGGCTAAGCTAACAACATCGCTAACTGCTAACTGCAAATGAACGTGTTTAACGCATGTCCGAATGACCCGCCCATGTGTCCCATAATATCACTCAGAATGCGTGTGTGAGATTGTGACAGAGCAGGTCTCTGGGAATTCAAGTTTTAAAAGAATACGCACGTGACCCTGGGGCACTTGCTGTTGTTTGCTGAACTGAAGTCCAGTTAACTCACCATTACTGTGCGATTAATCAACAACAAAAAGTGTAATCGTTTGACAGCCCTAATATTCATGTTTATTTATTTGCATGTGTAAGTATATACTGTAAGCACATAGGCAACATGTACAAAAGGTCATGTATAATAAATAATGTAAATATTGTAAATAATTATGAATGTAAAATGTCTGCTCGAATGTATAAAAATCAATCAATCAGTCCTCAACATCCTCAACAGAACAGCTGTGATCTGATCCCAGTATTAAGTGCCCTTCATGGAGGCTATTACATTTGAGATGCAACAGAAGAATAAGGTTTAAGTGTAAATAATTCATGGCTCATATTTGCATAAACCTACCAAAACTTCAATCTAAAATGGTGGTCGTGTCCATGTCTGGTCTCCCTGTGTTCGCATAGAGCCTGATTCATTATTTCCACTAGTTTTACCTGCTGTCATTTCCTGGTGACTCCATCCAGGCGTTATCATTAGGTGCATACTTCTGGATGATTACATGCATTCTCTTCAGTCCAACACGGCGCTCTGCCTTACAGCCTGCCCTCACTAATAGACCTACATCCTCATTTGCATGCACATATGGTCATTTATCAAACCAACCAGCTGAGGTCTACTTGTGGATCGAAAAGGTTAAACTATAGGTTAATTTATCATATAAATGTGCAATTGAAATACATTACCCCGTTTCAATGTTTCATAATGGCAGAATAGCGTTTTTATCAGTGGAAAGCTATGAGTTTTGAGAATCCCATAACCCCGAAAGGACTGAATAAAGTCTTCAGTCTCATCCTGTAATTGTTATGGGAGTTTAGGTTATGGAATTAGGATTAAAACGTGTTGCTCTTGTCTTGTTGTTTTGTTCATATTTGTTCTGTCTATATCTTAAGTCTAACATAATCAAAGTTTAGTCGAGGAAAAAATAAATAATTCAATCATATGTACTAATTTTTTAATTAACACTCTTTCTGTGAGGACTGGATACATTCCACTAAATGTGAATGGACCAATCAAATTACTCAACACTTGCAATGCTGTGTGACATCACTGCTTCTATAAAGTTGGGGGAACTCTCTCCGTCTGTGGTTTTATACTGGTTTATACCTAATCTTATAAATAAAATTCATGACAACTGATACCCTTGGATATTACTAAAATATTCACAATCTGCTTGTATGTCTAGCCTCACACATACATATATTCTTCCACTGACCGGTTTGGATTAGACATCACTTCATGCCCAATTCACAAATAGCGACATACTCAGGCTCACAGTGATAACAACCAGCCTTGGGGTATTTTAGTGCTCAATGTAAGACCAATATGTATCACATGTATGGTACATACCTGACCACTATAGAATAGAAGTGCTTACATGTTTCGTCCTCGCAGCATTATTATAATTCCATATCTTCAATTGTCCTGTGCATTATGAACCAAACGGCACTAGGGATTTCTCACTGGTTTATTTACAATCTCATACATAATATTCATTGTAATTGGTGAGTGTAGCCTTTCCCTTCTCCCTGTGAAATTAATTTACCAGTATGTGCATAATGGTGAATCCCCATGGGTGTGGTCCATTTGTGGCACAGTATGTACGATGGGGCTTCAACACAGCCAGCCCACAATCTCATTTAATTATGAACTACATTGTTGGAGAAGGTGGAGTATTTGTTTCCATCTACACTTCTATGTACTTATTGTTTTCACTGTACTCAGATAGAGTTGTTTATGTAGTCTGCACTGAATAATCTGTATTTGCCATATGAAAAATCATTATAAATCATGATACGTTTGATTGTGTGGCACCCTTTTTTAAATATTTGATAATGATGCATTGGTTTTATGCAGGGCTTTTTTGGACACTCTATTCATTCACTCCATACACAGCTTTTAGTGTAGCCACAACTGCCCTGGGGCATACAGACAGAAGCGAGGCAACCCATCAAATAATGTTTATCAAAATATATATTATTGAGTTACAAACATCCAATACATTTAGCTCAATTAGCTTCACACTTTTATTTTTGGAAATGTGTATTTTTCTTACTTTTTCTATGGTTCATTTTCCTTGGAGTTTGATCGCAAAATTACCTTGTGATATAAAAGGATTTGAAATTCACTGGATTTTTGTCCTTATAGAAATAGGGACCTAAAAGAGTCTCAAAAGGTAAAGAACTTGACCTTTTATTAGAAGTGACATTAGACTCCAATTAACAGCACTAATGGATTTACCGTGTGTTGACTCTTATGATTATTAAAGGCACACCGTGTAACTCTTGGCCACTAGGGGCGCTAGACCTGCAACTTTCACGTTTAGCGCCCCTAGTGGCCACAAGCAACTCAGCACTGTCGCAAAAGTCAACAAACAGTCAGCCGGTGTCTTTTGAGTGTGTATTCAGACAGCATGCACTGGTGTGTGTGTTCAAACTGTAGAGACATGCCTACAGATATTGAGAGACTCTGCTGTGGTCAGCCTCCAGACCGCTGCATTAGTAATCTACCACACATGGACTTCTATATCCTGGATGAGGGAGTTCTGCGTCTAGCTCGTGCTGCGTGGAATGACATCTTTGCAGTCGATGACATCCAGGAACCAGGTGAAGAGCAGCGCTCATACAGACATGCAGCTTACAGCACGATCCCTTTCGCGTTTCCTCTTTTTAGCCTCCTCCGAAGGTTTAAAATTTTTCCTTGCCTCAGCCATGACCAGGAGTCGAGCAGGTGAAAAATGAGTAGCAAAAGCCTTAGCTCCATGAGTATATCAGCGCCTGTAGCCGTAAAGCAAGTCTTTCTTCCAAGTCACGTGACCTGGTGGCAGACGGTCCGTCTGCTCGAAACTTACATGGGCGGTATTTCAAGAGGGCAGCCCCGCTCGGAGCATTGCAAGTGTCAAGCGCTGTATATTGGCCCAAGTATTCATATAAAA